TGGCTTGTGCCGAAAAATCATCTCCAAGTTAGGCAGAATTAGCATTCTTGACCAATTCTTCTTTTTTTGAGAAACTCACTTGATCATGTTTTCCAAATCGATCGAAGTCGAAAACATTCAAAACCAGCGTTTGGCCTCCTATCTCATTATAGGGTATCTGCAAGCACACATCAGTTACGCGAATGACGTGATTTTTTCGCTGAAAACTTTTCTTACCTTGAATGTGAAACTTTCATTAAATACGGGGTTAAGTGACTTCCGTTGTACTTTCGTTTGAAACTTCTTCTTTTTATCCGGAAGAAGAAACAATTTCACATAGGGATCAGAGGTACCGCCAAGATCCATAGCTGGCAATTCTTCAGCTTGTAATATGACGATTGTTAACTGAAAATGGAAGTGAACAGAATATCTATTATAATTTGCACTAAGGCAACTTTTTTTTATGTGGCAGGTTTTAACCGTTTGTGATGCTAAGACACTTAGTTTGCCATATGTCATTCCCGTACCCAATACGAATAAGAAGTGCAAGCCTAGTCAAAAGCGTGAAAACAATTTTTCTAATCCCTAATATTTTTTATCGCAAGAAAAATGCGTAAGGTTAATGTAAGAGCATGACCTGCTACTTACCTGTGGTGTGATCAGAAAGTGATGCCCTTCATTAATGGAATTTTCTAGATGGAAGATTTTTAAACAACTCTCGCTTTGGCTATGATCTATTTGGTTTGGCAATAAAGTCGTTTTCATTTTCATTTGCGCATGTTTCATGTTCGATCACTTGGCTTTTTCAGTTTCCTTTTCAAGTTCTCTCAAGGATAAAAAAGTAGCCTAGTATGACGCTGAAGTCAGTGTTCAAGTGCGAAATTTGCTAACCCAAACGATTTTCCGTTACTGCTGATTATGATATGTCCACCTCGAGCACAAGATGCGATAAGCTGGTATCATAGAGTCCACAAATTCATAGGCAAAGGTGAAGTAACATGCCGCGCTTTCTGTTTACCTCAAAAGTCATTGTGAATGTTACGAACTAGTTGTGCTAAATTTCTGTGTTTATTTTGTTTTCTCCTTTACATGTGGGACAATATCAATCGTACTTAGCAGGGAATGGTTAGAACTTAACCCAGCCATACCAAACAAGCTATAATCATCGGACTCGCCTTAAAACGCTGATTCTAAATATATG